CAGGAAAGAGCCGAATGGACGGGGAACTCCGTTGGAAAGAGGATTTAGCTCTGAGATGTGCAGATCCATAATGTTGCTATTCTCAGTTGATGAGAAATCGTGAATGTACCTCACGAAAGTACATGTTCATCGCGTGATTTCTCACGCTAGATCAGCATTTGTTATCTCTATTACGGATCGCTTGTACCAGATTGATTGATTATCTGAAAGGGATGCTATCGTCTTTTCATGTTGATCAATGTGGTCTCTCGTCTCTTCCTTTACTTATTTTATGAGGCCCGATTCTCTCTTCATCCAAAGCAAAAAACGTCGAAGTGCAGTCTCGTACTATTAGTAACCAGCGCTTTCTTATTTAAGTGACCTTATTGTGAGTACGTTGTGTTTCCATGTATATGTTCAGCAATACTTGCCATCATGCATATCTTTCAACAGCTCGTTCACTGGCCATTACTTGGTTTTATTAGGTCATCACCGCACATCACCGTATAGTTGCCAGGAGCAGGATCTCTGCCTTGTTGTTAATCACTTTGGTGTAGTGACAAGAAGCGCGTCTCATTTTAAATGTACCAGTTCTCTCATCAGACCTGCAACTGTTGATGTAAAGAAGTTGTCTGGCTTACTGTGTTTGAAAACTAGAGTATAGTGTAGTGGGTCATGACCTTTCCTAGGATAATGGCTCCTTTGCGCCATAACGTCATCTTGTATGTGCGTTTTCCATCACGTGCTACTACGTGTGTTCCAATTGCGCTCAGTTCCTGTCAGTAGTGAGTTTTGTGAACTTTACATGGTTGTTTGGATATGTGTGTATACCTACAATCCACTGTGGATCCGGAACATACGCTCCAATGAGAGCCTGAGAAGATCAGATGACCCAAAAAGGCGTCGATTGTCCTCCTATACATATGATTTTTAGCAGGACCTTGTAATACTTCTTGTTCACAGCTCCCAGTGCCGTGGGAACGTTAGAAGGTCATTGAATATAAGTACCATCATCTAATATAGTAGTGCCAAACTGGATCCCGTCATAACCCTTGATAACCCAGTTTTTACTTCTTGTTCTATTAAATTTATCTCTTTTCTTCTTTATCTCCCTGTATACCAGTTTATTACATATTTGTTTTCTTGGAGAAAGGAGCTTGCTAATTACTCGATCTCGCGATGACTGTTGTCAGAGATCGTTATTGAGCGGAACTACCGCGGCTAAATAGGCATCTAAACTGAAAGATTTGCGCCGTGTAAGCTATCGCGAGCATCACATCAAATCAATAGGTTGACAACTGAGAACTGCGTAATTTTGCAGTTTTTGAACTTGAACACACAGCAAAACTCGAGACATCGTAGGGGTAACTACCTAATTTTCTGGAATGATTTATATTCAAAGATCAGCTACCTGAGTATGCTATGCTTAAAATATAAGTGAAAAGCTGTGGTGGTAAGTGACGCACTATCGCAATGCATAGTTTGCAGTTTAAATCCCGGCTGGGTTCTCTTTTTCTTTTCTCTTATTTTCTGGTTCTTGAGGACCAGAAAAAGGCCACTATTCCTCTACGGTACGGTTATCTGGTGTGAGACTGGCCTAAGGTGCTTGTGAAGGTGAAAACGCTGACCTGGTTATGGCAAGTCATTGTACAGGCCACCTACGCATCTTATGATTCTTATGCGGAGAACGGGATAAAAAGGTTTGCGGAGATTGATCAATCCCAATAATTCCCTAAGATTTTTCTATCCATATATAATCGTATAGGCATTTCTTCTTCTGTAATGTAACAAAAGGTCATTGTAATTTTCTTGAAGTCATTCAATAACGTTAGTTGCCGACCTGATACTCCCGAACTAGTAATCCTTTGAGGAAGCTCTACAGGCAGATTGTGTGACGTCGGATCGCACTTGCACACTCAGCACTGTTTATAATAGAGGTGTGCTTTTTGCCTCGGCAGGTCGGGCGGTGGCAATCATCGTCAATTTGTGACCCGGTTGAACAAGCAATCATTAGTTGTCTTCTGTAGTAGAGCAACCACATAAGCTGGTTTAGAGTTTGCGATAGCAGGCTGCCAACGTCGGAAGTCCGCCGTCGTCGACTCCTTCATCGGAGTTAAACTATCGGTTTCAGTCCTCAACAGAAAGGGCGGGCGAACGAATAAAGAATGTTGGCAGTGTTCAAGTGGCATGTCTCTTTTACGCGTGCTCTACTGGTGACTATGAAATAGAAAGTCGAAGAGTATTGCTTAGTCATTTGACGGGTCAGCAGCTCCTGGTGATCACATGACCTCTACGACTTTAGCTTATTGAGGGTTAAGAGGAGCTCGATTTCTATGATGACGAAGCTGATAAGGTCTCTTGCACCTCAACAGCGTGCCGCGCTCGCCGAACCGGATGGCGCGCAGTTGCCGAGAAACCACTGTTGCTTGTCGGGGAAATTTTAGTAGACCTAGCCCTAGTAGCGTAGACCTTACCTATTCTATCTCCCTAAACATGGTGGAGGTACTAAAATTGAAGCAACAGGGCAACATCTCCGATCTCCTAGTGAATATCCGTATCATTAGTGTCGTTTTTCTCCAATCTCGCTGTTAGCCAATGACATGAACTTGCGTATTCGTAATAGGCTATTTATCCTTCTTTGAATGAGCAAATTATTTTGCCATTCTTTTTGCTCCACTGTCACTGACCTGTTTCTTGCCAACAATAGGGGTTTGGAAGCTTGCTCCTATCAAAATCTGATCCCTGAGGTGTTCCTCCTTTACCGTGCTATATGCCCCGCGCAGGGCCTGTTTGGTACTCTTTATACTGGCTAGTCCAAATTGTCAAAATATTTCTGTCATGGATTCGCTTCATCCTACAGTAGTTGTAACTTTCCAACTACTCGGCGGTACTGTCTACGATGTTAATTGCTAAAGTTTGTTATGCGACTAGAATTAATCAAATCAGTTACCTCGATTCCATCTTCCTACGGTAATTATTTTTTGTGTCACTTAATACCGACAAGTAGTTGAGCTGTATGGTGTGATTTTTTGCCACAGCTTTACTGATCCCCATATGAAGTGCCTTGTTTTTGATGCGATCGATAACGCTTCTGAAAATACTCTTAATGTTCGGATCATAATCAGAGATGGAACTGGAGTCATGGTGCATTCTATGCTGATATTTCATAAAACTCCAAGATGCTACAGTTTTTCGAATCTACCGTGACTATCCCCATGTGATTTGTATAACTTCGATTCCTCCGCGGTTTCTCAGTTGGTTTCATAGTTGTCGGTGATGATAAAAGCGCCGACATGTAATCGGCTGGCCACCGCATGTCATTGTATTGGCGGCATGCGCATTCAAAACGTCACAACGGTCTGATTAAGGCCAAAAGGCTTACAACTTATCGAGAAAATTAGATGTCTCTTTTTTTTATAATTGCTTCCCAATGTTCAGAAATGGCTACCCTTGGTATTTGTGGGCTTCTCCTTAACGGTTTGAGACATGTTTAGCGATCTAGTTCCCCTGTCTGGGAATTGGTGTCGTTGAGCGGAGAGCGCTTTTGAGGTCATTTTTCGCGCACGGCGTCTTCGACTGGCGGCAGGTGTTTTGACATCTGCTGCGCCAGCTGCAGTTCATTCTTCTATACAACAGGGGAACAAGGGAACAATCGCATAGTCTATTGCAGGGATGTTTTCATATTCTCGGAAAGACAGCGAAGTTGCCGTTCAAAGTAAAAGAATGAAACTGCATTGATTATCTCTGGATTTTTGATAACCTTTTTGAAATCTGGATCGCCATGGAGTGGGGTCAGTTCTAGAAATGAATAAGAAAGGGAACTTTTTGTAAACAGGGTTTACCGTGACCAAACATTAAGGTCTGGGTTCATCGCAGGTACAGTGGTGATTGCAAAGTTGCCTGATAACGAGTATCTTCCATGTCTTCCTCATTGGGAAGTGACTTCTGACGGTGCACTCAACCTAATCAGTCACGGTGCCGTCAGAATGTNCCGTATTGTGTTATTGTTATTGTTTCACCTATTTCCACTACTTATTTTCCATTCTCTTTCCTTTCGACTAGCCCCATTGTAAAGTATTGGTCTGAAGCTATTTTCGTCTCGCTTTTTTAGCGTCTGGCAGCCCTCCCTTCGTGCAGCTCCTCTAAATGCACAAAATTTCAACTGCCAGACTCAGCCTCGGCATCGATTTCTCAGCTTCCGCAAGAGTTTGCTCTATTGCCTATTTTCACTGAGTCTTATTTTGGAAGTTGAAAATGACTTCAATACGCATTTTCGGAATTCAGTCTCTTTCATTAGCGTGCGATAGTGGCAAACCGTAAGTGGATTGGGCCTTAGTTTCAACCCATTGTTTTCCTGGAAATTCAGTGCTGAATATAATATTCCGTATTGCCCACAACAGTAGTGCGGTACTCGAAGTTGACATTGCATCGCCGTGTCCTCTCGATCCCTAACTTTCCGCAAAAGTTAGGTTGAGGCTATCGGTGCATTCATCCGGTTGTGACGGCCGCTGTTCATTGGAAAACTTAGCTTTCAAGGCGAAGTGATGCACTGATATCGTTCCTAACCTTCCTCTTATTTCTTTGTCTGTTCATGACTTCGCGTTCGGCTCTTTCAGTTTTCTGATGGATAAAATTATTCAGGAGTTACTTCAATCAATTTAAAGTTTTTGCTTTGATCTCAGTGCCCCGATTATTCGTATTGAGCTGGGCGGTTGCTGTCTCTGTCAGCCTGTCAGCTTGTGTGCCTTTTCTGGTTTCTATAAGCATGAATAAAAACGTTGACTAGAATAACACCTCAAGTTTTATTTTGTTTTCACTTATGAAGTCTTTCTTATAAAGATGCCTTTTCTTCATGTAGTTCCGTCATCCCCGAAGTTCTTCGTTGAAAGCTGATTATTTCGGCTTATTGCTGCATATTCGAAGATAGTTATAAGACAATATATAATTATAAATATGCCTGAGACTCCCATCTGTTTTTTTTTACAGTGCTCGCTACTCAGCAACCTGAGATTGACGAAAAAATGGTACTCCAGCAGCAACAGCAACTTCATCAAGTCCATTCTCATCATCCTCAACGTGAACACACTATTACACCGCCAGCTATCGAAGAACACCACCTACACGGCCTAAACGCCCCCGGTAGCACTCAGGTAGGTTGCTTGCTGATAGGTTTATCATGGAGGAAATCTTGGTCACGATAGATATTGATTTTTTTGTAGGTGGTGCCCGACATGCGTTCCAATTTGATGTCTCCCTTAAATTCCCATGAAATGGCTGCGAAAATGCTTGCCAACGGCTCTTTGTCTCCAAGTGCTAATGGTCTAGCGCAATATAACCCATTTTTACTCGCCGTTTTTCAACCGTTTGCCCTCCAACAACTCCTGCAAGCGCAAGCTCTACAGCAGCAATATATGGTGAGTAGTCGCTCTGGTACCAGTAATCTTTCAAAAAACCTTAATCCTGTCGTTTAGCAACTCCAGCAACAGGCAGTAGCACAACAGCAGCTGGAAGCTCAGGCTCTATGGGCCTCATCCAGCATTTCTGCCAGTCCTGCGCACGCATCGGATAGCGAGGTGATCAATTCAGACTTGTTCAGTGGTTACGTGACACGCAATTAAGCTGTAGTGTCGATTGTATAGTTAGGCACCCGTTGGTAAGAATTAGATGTTCCTCAAAACTTCGGCTTTTATACAGGTGTCGGAGATGTCCGATCTCTCACCGCTACCTCAGTCGGAGGCTCCGTTGCGTCCAAATTCGCCTCCTTTCAAAGATCCCCACCAACTGGCTGACAAGTCTCTGTTGAGGCTACTAAACCTCAATCAGCTCTCCGAAAAAGAGCAAATGGCAGTGGCAGTTCTGGCCGGATTTGCGTCTATGGGACGTTAAACGTGTTGTATATCGAGTTCTGGTGCGCGGCCGCTCCGAGTATGATTTGTGCCTCTTGTTTTGGCTTTTAGCCATACATGGGCACACTCATAGAAACCAACCTAATTCCGGTTCTGTTCTCTCTTTATTTCGTTATCCTCTCAGTCTGTACCGTTTCCCGTTGTAGTTGATAATAAGCTGATGTGTATAAGTGCTACTTTTCTGTCTGCCATGCTTATTGTGAATAAAATGGCAGACTTGCAGCCCACTCATCGATTATTCTCTTTTTTTTTTTACTCTATTGCTGTTCTTCGTTTTGATTAAGTACTTATCGAATGCGTGTTGCTTACATTTGTGTCTACGATATTGGTTCCATTACGCGTCTCTTCTGTCTCATAGTGTTTTCATCATGAGTTACAAGATGCTGTACGGATATCGTCGGAGGTGCGTGGGCGTGTTTGGGTGGCATATCGGCTAGGGTTCTTACGCTTGTGCGACATTTTTACTGCGGTCATTTGGCCGCAAGACTCGCGTGCCCTCGCTCTTGCAGCCCCGTCCATCCATCTCTGATCGGTCAAATACGTGTATCTCCTGTCCAGGCCGTGTTAGCTGCGCTCCAATCGCGCATACGGTCATTTTGTATATGAATTTCGTTGAAGATCATGAAATGTGTTTTGTTTCCCTTTAGATGATTGCTCTTGAGCGATCGTTTTTGTATTTTGGCATCCATTGTTGTCTGTTGCGCCTATCCCCACACCCACCCGTCTCAGTGTTCCTCTACCTTTCCTATATCGACACTATTAGTTTTTGGTTCATTATCGGGCGTATTCTTCAGGAGTGAGTGTGGATGTAGTCCGTAGTCTGTTTTTGGCATCATGTTTCAATGGAGTTCATTTGAGATCTTGGTAAGTGGAACCAAGAGTCACAGATCAGCTTTGTTAATGAACTTCTTATGTTATTGGAAGAAATGAATTTGAAAATAACTCAAAAAATCGATAAAATTCCGATTGACTATGTAGGGTTTTTTGCTTGCTGTTGTCACCGCGGCTGTTATCTGGCTTGATTGCAAAATAGCGACTGATTCACCATATAGTGACGCTTTCATTATTCCTAAAATATGCCGAACGTTTAGTATTATTGGAAAGGAAATTTTGCGATTTATCTTACAAAACTCAGAAAACCCAGCTGAAATAAAAGAAATTCGGGAATGGAAAGATTCGTCAGATCGTTTGTATCATTATAATTTGGCCCTCTCGTGCGTCAAGAAGATATATTTGACCAATTGATGGGCGCACCCAAACGCGTGCTTCACAGCAAAAAAGGCTTTTAAAACATGAATTTTGTGGTTTAAAGGCGCAGTTCACGATAATCCAAGGCCGCCCCTCAATCGATGTCAGGTCAGACGAGTGTCGAGACAATGCAGGCCGCAACTATTCGTTCTTTCTCCTATTCTTTTTTCCTCTGTTATTCTTCTGCTGCCGTGATCCCTTATTTAATTCCTTACTCCTAGGCTAAAAAAGGTGAGCTACTTTTTCTGTTATTAGGGGTTTTGTTTACTTATTCTTATAAGTGAATGAATTTTTGCTTACCGTATTCGGTTATTCACACCAGGACCCACACGTAGCAGTGAGACACGTTTAGCTGGTCCAAACGCCCCATTTCATTTTTTTGGTCTCATTCGCGTCCAGTCCCCCTTTTTAACGTTTTTTCGGAGCTCTTTTCACTTTGAAAACACCGATTCACGCAGTTTCTTCACCTTGATCGCACTTTTTTCGATCTTTCCTTCCATACTTCATCATAATCTGGATTACCGAAAATTGTCGTGAACTGTGTCTTTAAACTTTACCCTCATGAATATAACCTATGAGCTGTGATTGAATCGAGCTATGAATTAATGTGGAAAGTACAGCCACCGGGAGTGTGTCTCCTTCATTTTATTTGTTGACCCATTCCTCACCTCTTCTTATTTTCCCCTGTATCTGAGCCGATCTGAAATGGGAAGTTCTGTTCATTGCCCCTGTCCATTCGGTGCAGAATTCGCCTCCAATGATGGAGCTCCGTTGAGTTCGCATGCACTCTTTTCGTTTTGCCTTATGCTTCACCCATACCAGACATGAGCTGACCTCTGCATGTTTCCTCAGGTAAAAAAGGTTTTCGTGGGAGATAGACAGACAAGATTTCGCTATATATGTATTGAATAATGATTATGGCTTAATATGCCGTAGGTAATGAATATCATTCTAGAACACTTCTCGAAAAAGTTGTGAGTTTTTGACCGCAGCATTCCCACCGTAGGGGTTCGACCTTTGTCCCTTTTTCTCAGGTTCTAGAACGTAATTAATCAAAGTGCGTTTTCTTGAAAGCACCATTTCAAGCACACACCCACCATAAGCAGGCTTCCCTGAGCTTACCTTGCTTATTCCAACAGACCTGTAGGTTTTCGTTGAAGGAAGCCACGAACTCACGTCAGAAGTGCACACTCCTTCGGGACGCTGCGCTCTCCGCGGAAGGGCTTGCTTTGCCTGACTCGTTGGCTCATTCCTAAGCTACGCCCAGTTTTCTCAATGTCTCGACTTCTCTGAAACTGAAGAAAGATGTTTCTTTTTTTGCATTACCTCCATTCCAGTGTACTGCCCACCCCTTGCGGGCGGAGTCTCGTTGGTTTGGTATTTGCTCTGTTGAACTTGTCTTAGGCCTTACCTAGGATTTGGTTCGACCTGCCTAAGTGCTTCTCCAAACTATATCGAATTTCCTGACAGATAGACAGGCAGGCAGGCAGGCAGGCAGGCAGGCAGATAGACAGACGGAAACGCAAGCGCTTTATGTAGTAAAGACGCATATGAAGTAGGCATACAAGTAAGTGGTTCCTAACTTAAATAGACCGGTTGCCATTTATCGCCCCAGTGGGAACGATTATTCGGTAACGACTTCGTCCGCTACTATCTATTATACGTACATCTTTCGAAAGTGGGAATCGTCAGACTTTGGAAAATATAGGTCTTTAGAGAATACAATTTTGAGTATATCATTAATACGAAAGTGTTACTGTAAGAGCTAGGAGTTCGGACGCTTTCGCCCCTCTTGTAATAAGATAACAAGTACGAAGCACAGTCGTTCCACGCCCCAATACCGATTTATGAATGTAGTTTGTAAGTTCGTATTTACTTATTGAGCAAATATTTTCTGCAAAGCACTATTGGAGTGGAGATAAAAAATGCCCCTCACGGAAAGCTTTGTGGAAACAGACAATCACGCCGATTTTGTACCGATTCGAGCACACCTCTTCAATTGGCTCCTCTTGTCCGCCCAACAACGGCTTATGTCTACGTTATCTAGAGCTGGTGTTTGCGATCCGTGTACCCTGAATAATGCGGTCATGTGTGCCAACTGATAACCAGGTCAACTCTCTTCACATTAATGGCAAGATAGGGTTTTCATCTCGCTGTGGCTTATGAGCTATTAATGGGTTAGGGGTAGACTTCTGATGCAGAAATTCAGCACCACTTGTCTTTTAGTGCGAAAATGAAAGACCGGTCTAGAATCAGTCAATTAATAGCTCTGCAAATGATACATAAGACAGCTCAGCTACGAATACTTCCCACATGAAGGGTTTTGGAACAGATTCGCCAATTAAAATTTGCAAAACGATTTCACATTTGGCTTGCGGAATCCGCTTTTCAAAGGTTGTCCGTTGGCTGCTGTCTACATACTTTAGCCAATTTACAACCTAAAAATTTTTCTTTTCCACAAAAAAGAACTCTAAGAAGCATGAAATGAACTACGCTATCTTCGATCCAAACAACGAACACGTCAGAATGATATATTTTGCCTAACAAAACAGTTTTTGTAGCAATCTGCGTATTCTATTACTTATATTTCTTTACAACGTGCAAAGTGTCACTTATGTCTGTCGTTTGTCGTCTATCGTTGTGCCACAGAAACCCGTATCTTCTTAAGGAGCACTTATTGATATCCAGTCAAGTTTTTGATAGGCGGCATGCCGTCCTTGGGAGAGAGGGATGTTCGGGCGGCGCCGATTGCAAAATTTCGGTTTGCTTGAATATTGTAAAAAATGGGCAAAGGTGAGCCTGAAAAGTAACTCGAATGAATTGACACGGTTGAAGTGCGCTATCATACCCAAACTAGGCGAAGCCCGGTCTATGTTGGGCGGGGCGCGTTCTCAAGTGGGATGTGTTTTCACAAAGATTCATAAGTATGCGAAAAATCCGAAAAAGTGGGTAGAGGCCAGTGATGGAAGATCAGATACAGGCGACCAGTGAAAGACACAATCCACGATAAGAATGGTTTTTGTGATTTCTTCCTGTGACTTTCGAGGATGGGGGATCTGTCAGATCGAAAAATGGCTTAGATAGGTCGTAGTAAGGGCCCCTATATCGCCTTAGCCGAGGTATACAGCGAACAAGTTTTCATGGTGTTGTAGAGGCTGTAGATGTTGCACTACTCGATCGGGGACGCTCACGTTGCACGTAGGTAGCTTAGTGTAGCCAGCCGTCAGTAGCACTAACATTTGGACAACTCGTCCAAATACCACTTCCGTGCGACAGGTGGCGTTACATTCAACCAATTACTGATTTCAGTACTTTCTCAAAACTTTATATTTCTTTAAATACGTCGATCTTTGCCTCTGCTTCGCCATTTTTGCACTATTCCGATATCACTTCCACTTCCCGTCTAAAATTGGACACTACAAAATCATCGTAAACATTTGTTTTTGAGACTTACATTAGCAAAGAAATCAGTCTCAGTTATGTGACACATATCGCGACGAACAAGTCTCAGCTTTCCAACATTGACGGAATAGCATTCAAACTTTGCAATATTCAAGAGAAGAAAGCGTTAGATCGTCTCACTTCCCACCTAAACGCGAAGTGATCTCAACCGTACCTAGGTTTATCTCAGTCGTACCCATTTTCCCACATCCTTGCCACAGGGAGGGGAGCACGGCAAAAACGTGTACTTATCTTAATCAAGCGCCTCTCTTCGTTCGTACCTAGTCTGTT